TTTTTTTTTTTTTTTGTACAAATTTATAATTGAAAAAAAAAAGAAAGAAACACACGAGTTGATTTCTTTGTAAATTCTTCTAACGAGTAAACGCGAAAAGAAATTTAATGCTTTGCTTCGTGTAATATACATCATAGAGGAAAGAAGAAAACACTCATCCGTTTCTTTAAAGCCTAAATGCGAAAAGAAGAGGAAACGAGAGAAATGACAACTACGAGGACGAAGAAGAGGAAAAGGAAAAAAAAAATAAAAAATAAGTAGAAGAAGAAAAAGAAGAAGATGATGATGATGATAAAGAAGCCGCGAGAATCCTCCTCCTCTTTCTTCGTACACGTTGGAATTCAACTCGTCGTCATAGTAGTCGTTTCGTATTTTTCATAGCTCCTCTGACTCGAGAAAAAAAGAAGAAGATAACCGCGAGCGTGCTAATTAGCGTTAGTTTCGCGGTAGACGTAATTAGTAAAATCTTAAACGGCTAGAGAGAGAGAGAGAGAAGGAGAACACCCTCTCTCTCTCTCTCTCTCTCTCTCTCTCTCTCTCTCTCTCTCTCTCATCTTTACTCGGGTAACGCCTCAACCTTTTTCCATTTCGCGTTATCGCGATAATGCGTGCCTTTGCTAACTTTTTCTTTTTATCTCCAGAAAAAAAGACATCGTTTTTAGATGAAATAACTTTCAAGAGTGTTAATCTTATTTGTCTTATTTAATCAAATCGTACTTAATACAATTATTTGATTTAATTTTATATATATATTTTATTTTATTTTATTTTATTTTATTTTATTTTATTTTTTATAAATGGAGAAAGAAGTTCAACGAATATTATTCGTCATCTATAATAATAATAATAATAAACCCTAGGACTCGCTTGAATTCGTCAGATTACTCACGTGTAAATATCGGAGAGTTTCTTTGATTGAGTGTAAGAAGGCCTGATCCACCATGCAGCCTTCAGTTCAATAAAAAAAAAAAAGAGATATATGACAAATTGTCAATTGATAAGAAAAAAAAATTAAAAAACAAAAAGAATATAACAAAATCGCGATCGTGGTAAAAGAGGAGTGGAATAAACGCGGTGGACGAAAAAGAAATTAAACTAAAATCAAATAAAATAAAATACAAAAAATGAAAAAAAAACTACCAAAGAACAGAGAGAAATATGAAACAAAAAATGACATCCGATATTTTTCACAAGTCCCTTTTTTCTCTCTTACTGTCCGTGATATTTTGAGTAGATTAAAAAAAAAAAAGAAAGCCCTATGTATCCTGAAAAAGTCCTGGAAACTTTCGTTCCCTTTTACCTTTAACCCTCCCCCCCCCCTCCTCCTCCCCTCCCACCTCACCACCTGTCTTTTGATGATATTATCCACGATTACCAACTGATCGTACGATTATCGTCATCATAGACGTTCTTATGATTATCCTATCCTCCTAACGAACAAAATATTTTTCTAATCGTCTAATATTTGTCCTCATAAACGATATTTTAGATTATCAATTAAAAAAGATAATCTCCCTTTTTTTTTGCATATTTCAATTTTCCTTGCACTAATTAATTCCCCATCTTTGAATCTTTGTAATCCTTTAATTCTTTTTTTCTTTTTTCTTTTCGTTTTTTTTTTTTTTTTTTACTTTGTTTTTTTCAATCATCCAACCATAATTTTCATAAATCCTGTGTGGACGATAAAGTAAAGAAAATTTTCTCGTCAAAATATTTTTGATCGGATGGGAATTTTGTTGAAGGCAATTATTCGCAGTGTGTGTTTGATGATTTCCTGGAATTTGCTTTGCCAAAAAGTCATCCTTCTCCTTTACATTTTTTTCTTTTCTTGTTTACTATTAAAATCAAAAATAAATACTTCGTTTTAAATTCCATACAAAATATATTCCTTTAAATTGAGAAGAGTTCAGTTCCTTTCCTCTCTTTCTCTCTCTCTCTCTCTCTCTCTCTCTTTCTCTATTTCTCTCTATTTCTATTTCTTTCTGTCTTTGTCTCTCTGCTTCTCACTTTATCTATCTCTCATTCTATCTTTATCTATCTATCTTTCTTTCTATCTTTCTATCTATCTATCTCTATCTCTTTCGCTTACGTTATTTATAAGAAGTAATTATCACGTCGCGAGATAATAGATTTTTTTCTACTTTTTCATAGCGCAAGAGTTAAATGTGAAGAAAAAAATGGAAAAGAGAAAGAAGCGAGGATAAAAAGGAGGAGAAATTAAAAAAGAAGATGGAAGAGAAGTGAACACTTTCTGGTGGTGGGGTGGGACGGCAAGAATTCAAAAGTAAAGTAAAAAGATCAAAAATATACATAACACACATGCATATAGATAGATAAATATATATATATGTATATTTAAAAAAAAAAAAAAATAGAAAAATAGCAAAAATAGCAAAAAAGAACAATAAACAGAAAAAAAGAAAAAGATTAAAAAAAAAAAAAAAGAGAGATATCAGTCCATTTTCAAACAATCCTTTGTTTACGCGCTATTTTCTCATGCCGCGCTTTTCTAAATCCCCCTCTCCTACTTTTTCCTCCTCATCTACTTTCTCTTTTTCTCTATTTCTCTTATTCTCTATTTCTCTCTCTCTCTCTCTCTCTCTCTCTCTCTCTTTCCTTCTTTGTCCGTTCCCTTCTCTTCTCTTTTTTTTTTTTACTCCGTTAAGGAGAACTTGGCAAAGCAAAGTCCAAAGGAAAGCGCCACCGCGCGCGCTTGTTGTGGCCCGTTTTTCGCGTTGAAAAAATAAAAAAAAAAATACAGCGACAGGGTGGAAGGAAGGAAGGAAGGAAGGGTAGTAAAAGAAAAACAAAGTAATATCGATAAAACAAAAAAGAAAAATAGAAAAGTTAAAAGAAAAAGATTTGAAACGTGTTAAAGGCATGGAGAAACGAGATGTGAAAAGGAAAAATCGGGTTGTAAGAAATAATTAAGAAAAAAAAAATAATAATAATAATAAACTCGAAGGTATAAAAGAAAAAAATATACAAGAACTGAAAAACTTGTGGGGGGGGGGAACCCCCTTCAAAAAATATTAAAAATTTAAAAAGATCGGAATAGAGTTTATCGATTTTCGTACGATTTATTTTTTTTTTCGTTTATCTTTAAAAAAAAAAATCAAATCAAAGTATCCTTCAAAAGAAACGAATATTTAAAAAAAAAAAAAAAATTATGAGAGAGAACTTTTACGCCCCCTTCGGCTGTCACGCATGCTGACAGCTGCATGGAAATCAGATGAGCGTTGTTTCTGTTGTTTTTCTTATGTGAATAAGCATCCTTTTTCTATATATACCTATATATATATATATAAAAGCACGTTTTTTAATTGATCAAACGAATTTAAGTCTTTAGGACAATATTTTTGATAGCGATACTCGAAAATTCGAAGAGTTGAGACGAGACGAGCAAAACAATTCAAGTAGATGATTTTTTTTTTATTTATTTGTTTGTTTGTTTGTTTGTTTGTTTGTTAGTTCACTTTATTTTTTACGTATTTTGCTACTTTTATATTTTTCTTTTATATTCGTTGAGTTTTCATCGAAACAACTCTTCGAATTTTTTAGACTTTGTCAAGAGTACGCAGTGCGTATCCATTTATAAAATAAATTTCTTATTTAATGAACTTTTTATTACTGAAATTATTATAAATTTAGTGTTTTGGAAATGTGCTGCTGATACTCGTTGACAAAAATTCGTGTAAAATATAAAAAAAACTGACAAAATGTATGCTTTAAAAAAAACAATAATAATTATTATTATTATCAATAAATAAATCATAGATTTTGTCGGTTAAACAATCAAATCTTTGAATTATTGTTAAACATTTGATAAAATTATTATTAAAAAAAAAAAATATTCAATGATTTGACAGTAGAATAACTTACTAGTTAGAGAAAAAAACAAAATAAGATGAAAATTATTCGACGAACATACAAAATATTTCGTATAATAATATTTTAATATAATAACATTAATAAATAAAAAGTATTCGTCGAATAATTCCATCGAAAACTTCCATCCTCCAACCCCTTGCAATTTCCTAAAATATATACGACCTTGTTGCCAATTTAACAACCCTTAACCCTTTTGTGAGTCCTAGTTTTTGATTATTCTTTTTTTTTATTTTTTTTATTTTTTTTTAATATTTAGATAGATAGATAGGTAGATAGATAGATAGATAGGTAGATAGATAGATAGATAGATAGATAGATATATATATATATTTTTTCCTATTTAAAATGACAGTAATTTTAAAATACTTTTTTAATACGAATTGCAGCTCGACGGTGGCCCATCCTTCGGAACTGCCACCCTCTCCTCACCAATGGGAATAAATCTTCTCCGTGGAATAAGAAAAAGAGAAAGAGACAGAGAGGACATACAAAATAAGAAAAGAAAAATAAACCACACACTAACAAAGAATAAAATGAAAGCCAGAAAGAAAGAAAGAAAGGACAGACACGTAACTCACAAGAATGGACCCCGTGTTTTTCCCCGGTTATATTCCTCAGACGTATTTCTCGTTTTTACGTCGGTCGTTTGGACGATGATCTTCTTTTCGAGAAAAGAGAAAAATAGGAAAGAAGAAAAGAAGAAAATGTCAGAAGAAAGAAAAATAAAAAGAAGAGGAGAAGAAGAAGAAGAAGAAGAAGAAGAAGAAGAAATACTCTTATATCCGGGAAGACAAAACACTATGGAACGAAGGAAAAGAAGAAACGGAGAAGATGATGATAGAAAATCAAGAGAAAGATAATAGTAACAAAAACAGTAGGTGAGAGAGGGAGAGAGAGAAAGAAAAAGATAGAAAGCAAAGAAAAGCCAAGAGAGACAATAGACTGCCGAGTACACTGTAGTTTCAATTTTCGACTAGCCGATATATACACATAAAAACACACATAAACACATAAAAAAAGAAATACACAAAACATACACCCTTCTACACCATACACACACACAAAACTTATACGCGCATGTTACATATTACACACACACATACACACACAACATGTACGTATAAATATAAATATAGATACGTAGTTATATATATATAAATATTACTATTATAAATATTGTACACAAAAGCGTGAGAGAGGGGAGAGAGATAGAGAGAGAGTGTGTGTATAAGTCTTTAGATAAAAGAAAAAAGGGGAAAGGGATGGGACCGTGATGAGGGAAAGGGTAAGGGCAAGACGCATCGCGAAAATAACGCGACGAGAAAGGACGAGCCTATTTACTACTATTACTAGTACATTGAGATAGAAAGATGATTGAAGATATTTGTCTAACGTTTACAGAAATGATTTCGAGACGTTAAATTAGAGGCTCGTGTTGATAAAATAACGATCACGAAAAACTATACTACAGACGATAAAAAGAAAAAAAGAAAACAAATATGAAAAAAAAAAGACCAACCGATAAGAATGATTATTGAACTAAGTGTCGTTTCATAGATACGATAAATCCAGTCTCTTTTGATCTTCTACCTTTTCTCTATAGATCATACTTGATTAGAAATGAAAACTCGTATTTAACTTGTTTACGACGGTGTATGGTTGTATGTTGTGTTCCATCGGTACCATCTTATACCATCATTTTATTAATGTGAGATACAACTCGTTCTAGTTTTTAAAATCATATTATTGAAAGTGTCTAGGAATATTTGTGCTGGTCCGCGATGGTGATGAAACATTAGAAATAAAAAAGAACAAATCTCGTTGTAAACCTGTTAAATGCGTGTATATTGTAAATTTGATTACATAACGTATGTAATCAAATATATATGGCGCGTATCAATTGTATTAATTGTATCAATGAATTAATTAAGACGCGCGAGATAATACGTATAATATTTTTTCGAGATTAAATCGTTTCGATTGACTTTAATCGTAAAATTTGTACGATTATCTAACGTGTTTTATATAACGTGTGTGAGGTATACGAATATAATCGATAATAAGAGTCGGTTTGTCTTTTTTCAAATAATAAAAAAAAAAAAGAGAAACGTTACTACGCATATGTGATTTTAATGAAAGAAGATTTTTCAATGGTCCAATGTTGTCTTATGCATACACGAATATACAAAATAAATTTGATATGTGTATACATAAACCATTATTATGTCGAATCGATACGAATAATCGATTTTGGCAATAAGACCATTTGTGGTTAGAACAAACATATTTTCCATGTGAAATCGAAAGACATGATGATTTTCATTCTTATGGGAAATATTATGATGTATGACCGTCGAGAAAAGTTGCGTTGATTTTTGAATGAATACGAGAAAGAGTTTTCAAGGAAAAATAAGTCTATGAAAATAGAGAAAGAAAAAGAAAAATAAATAAAAGAAAGAGGCTGGAACTCGTAAAGAGGAGAGACACTTTGCGAAGATAAATAAAACTAATTAATCTAACGAGAATGTTACATTTCGTTGTAGTTGAGAAAATCGTTCATGAACGATGCGAGAAGAGCATATGGGATCGATTTATTAAACCGACTAGCCAATTCGAATTTTTTCAATTGAATCCCATTGTGTAGATCATTAGCTTGTCGGTGATAGAAAACTAAAATAAACTGAAATAAAATAAAATAATGTCAAATAAAATAATCATTTAAAACGTACAATTATTGTATCGAAGTATCGAAGAATGAATGAAGAGCCTCTCTTTTCATTCTCGTCGTCGTTTAGAAAAAAAAAATAATAATAATAATTATAGTCCAAAGCAGCAGTAGCAGCAGCAGCAGCAGCACGTTCCAAGATATTTCGATTTTGAAAAAAAAAAAACAAAGGATAACATCTAATCTTGTTCTAATTCTTGTATCGTAAAATCCGTTTTAGAAAGATTTTGATGTTACTCTTGATAAAATCACGTTGTCGATGATGTTATGCTTGATAAAACAAGTTCATCGAAATTGTTTAAACGAATATGGCGAAATTTATGTATAATATTTAAATAACGTCGCACGATCTAAATGATAATTAGTTTTAAGTATTATATTATTCTAATCGCGATAATAGGATCGATCGACGCGAGTGAACTAAATATTATATATAATATATATATATACATAATACGTAAACTTCACAAAATTATGAAAGATTCCTAATTAAAAATCATCGAGTTTAATCGACGTTTATCTTGATCCATGCTCTCTAACTCGTTGCTCTGGTCAAAATTTCATCAAATTTTTCGGCTGTGTTATTTTCTTTTCTATTTTTTTTTGTTTTTTTTTATTTCGTAAGGAAACAATGCAAAAATATATTAATTGTTGACCGACATTAGATCGTGAACAAATTGTCTTTGTCGTTTCTAAATAAATTAAAAAGAAATAAACAAAACAAAACGAAAAAAAGAAAAATCGAAATTTAGACGAGAAAAAAAAGAAACGATTGTTAAAAATAGGATAAATAGGGGGGAAGCGTAATAATTTATTTCTTTTCTTTTTCAGACGATTAGAACGATAAAAAAAAAAAAAAAAGATTGCCAAAAATTAAAGATCGATTTAGAAAGAGGAACAACGATCGGACACGTGTCTCCGTATGGATCACGATTTAGAAATATAAATGATACATTGTATATTCCATTTAAAATACACTGCCCAAGTTGAATTGTACGAGCGGAAGATTTGATTTAAGAAAATGGTTGAATGGTGGTTAGAGAAACATAATGTAGAAACAAAGAAAACAAGAAAAAAGTTACTATAGTAAATAATAGTAGCTTTTTTTTATTATTATTATTATTATTATTATTATTATTATTATTCTCCATTGTACATGCACGCGATCGAATGATTATAATATTTTAGAATCTTAGATCCATGAGAAAAGAAAGAAGAAAAAAAAAGAAAGAAGCGAAGCCAGATTCATGGATGGTGGTTTAGTGCATAATAGTAAAGAAAAAAAAAACGATTAGTCTAATGGTATGAAAAGAATGAACGAACGAATGAATAAATGATGAATGAATGAATTAATTAATTTAAAAAAATTACATCAATTATTAATTAATTCATTTGCTAATAATAACGATATAATAATTATAACAATAACGATAATTATACGTTCTGAGTGTGATTTTAGATTTTAAGTAAGTCTAGATGAAGGAATTCGTAGTTTCACAGGGAATATATTCTTAAGGAAGGAAAATAAAATGAAAAGAAAAAAAAAGTACAGAAAGAAAGAAAGAAAGAAAGAAGGAAGGATTAAAAAAAAAAAAAAGAAACCTAGAAATGGAACTTTAGATAAACGTACATATTTGTATTTAGAAGAAGAACATATAGTAAGTGCTCTGTAATTGTGTCGCTCGTTTTGACTTACTTTTTTTTTCTTCCCACACACACACACACACACACATATATATATATATATATTATAATTATTATTTTTTTCTTCTTTTTCATTTCTCCTTTCATCTCTTTTTTTTTTTTTATATTTCTTGGTTTCTTTAAATGGACAAGAATCACATGTGTTCTCTTTTTTACGCTAAGTAAACTCTAATTGAGTTTTAATATGATTAGAATGAGAAAGAGTGAGAAATAAAGGCTAGAGGTTGGGGTGGGGTGGGAGAGAAAGTGAATGCATGTGTTAGGATTAGAATGAATGAACACGTGTATGATAGAAAGAAAGAGAGAAAAAAGTAATAGCGTTAGTCGTAATTAAGTAATTTATCTATCTTTAAGTATTTTTTAAACGATGTTCCCGTATTCGCAAGAGGGAAAGGAATGCACGCGACCACTTTCATTTTATTATTGCGTTAACGAACTTTACAAATCAGGAGGAAACAATAATCATTTCATTTTGGTAGAAGAATAAGGATAAAAGAACAAGAAAAATCATTGTACAGTTAATTGGTCGTGTATATCTTGAAAAAGAATAATTATTATTAATAATAATAACAATAATAATAATGATAAGAGAAGAAAAAAATAAAAATAATAAAATTCGAGCGCATAAAACTGGAAAAAAAGAAAACAATGAAATAATCATCTTTTCAATAATTCTAATTATTATTTATTATCGTAATTATTATTAATTATTCATCGAAATCGAATTGTTTTCTTGCTAATATAAATTGATAGATTTTTTTTTCTCCTTAACCGTCACGATCAGCGATGAATTTTCTTTCTTCTATTTCAAAATTATTAAAGAAAGAAAGAAAAGGAAAGAAAACAAGAAAAAATAATGAACGATAGACCCACACTCGTTTAGAGATAATTCATATGTATGTACACAGACACAATATATACATATAGACACGTACACAAGCACACATACACACACACACACATCATTTGTATATAAATTCATCTTAATCATCGTGTATATAAATTTATCTGATATCCCCATTCCCAGATAGATGATAATTCATTGTTGTTTGAAGATAAAATAAAAGAAACACATATACACATAAAAAACAACACACGCATATACAAGCACGTTGTGCTACTATTTCGAGAACATTAGAATTAACATCGTTTCTAATGAATCTTTTTTTTTTTTTAATTTAAATTAATATCATCCAATCATTATTTAGATCTATACTTAATTATTATTATTATTATTATTATTATATTGTTGTCAATGTTCATAGTCATTTATGATTATTATAA